CAGAACAAAATTCTGGGAAATTTCTTGTTGCTAAGAGTTGAATGATGGTTTGACAGTGAAGTTGTGCTGCTGCATTTACTCCTATATTTAGAAGTACAATTCTGTCTTGGGTTTACCTTACCTAGCCCATTTTGCTGTTATTTCTGCATTTATGTATGTAAACTCTATTTACTTTATTCCATGTTGATTCAATGCAATGAAAGGACAATGTGCTCCATGCTAAATTCGTTGTTTTATTGCTAAATAGTAATAAATTTAGTTTCGGGTAAGGTTAAGCTATTCTTGTTGAAATTTGTAAGTAGCTTGAATGTTGAAAAGAGTTTGGTTTAAGATTAACAATATAAACTTGCAAGCATGAGTTAATTTGTGATTTTGGTTGAATGGTTGTGTGACTTTTGTTGTTTAACATGATAAACTAACAAATAAAGTCTGTGAGATAGTATTAAAAGGGATCTTGACATTTTTTATTAATCTTTCCTTGTGTGTTGAAACCATGAAGGGTTATAATTGTACTAACTATTTGTTCTATTTATTTGCCGCTATGATGAGTCAAATGCAGATTTGCAAGCTATCTCTACAGCTACTCTTGCAAATTCAAGCACTGTTTTGAATCACAAATCTCGTGGGTGGAAGTATGTTACCTTAGCAGAAGGATGGATTATTTTGTGAAGCTTTTCGTTAATGATTAGTTAGATTACTTAGTTGTTATGATTAAAATTATATAAACTTGTTCTTTCAGTTATCTATTTTGTATAGTTTGATTTAAGTACACTTAGTTATTGTTAGTTAATTATAATTTTGAAAACTTATGTACTTGCTTTTAAGTATATTTAGAAGGCCAACAGGTTTCATTAATAAATTAGGCCAAGAGTGGGCCTAGATGGATGGCCTTGTCAGGATCACTTTTGGTGTGGTCCTGGACCTTTGTCTCGTATGTTGGGCTCAATCTCAGGGCCCAAACCGTGTCAGCATTTGTGTTTTCTTTTAATTTTAAAATAATTATGATCAAACAGCTTACTGGGCCTTCTGCAGGCCTAACTCACCTTAGAATGATCAAAAATATCTATACCGACTTAATTTGTTTTCAGTAATTTTGCCTCAAACATTTTGTTTAGCATAATAGACGTGGGTCTCTAATATTGAAGGCACGATTGTGCAGAGTTGGGCCTGGCATTCGTTGGCCCATTTGGAGCTAAGTGACCGTCTGCCCTAGCTTCACTTCTGGACTCGATTTTGAGCCCAGTCTTTTAAATAGTTTTGGGCTTAAGCTTAAACCAGATTTTGCTTAGATAAAAAAGGCCCAACATCTTACTTTAGTTACTTATAAATCAGTAGCTACACATTAATTTTATAACTTAGATACTAAAAAAGGGAATGTTCGTAGTTGCTTTAGGTGTGTTTAATATATCGTTGTGATTGTGGACACGTTTGCGTGACATAATTATTGCTAATTGTGGACACGTTCGTGTGACATGATTTACGCGCCAAACAAATGGGTACCTATTTTCAAGATAATTTCTTAATTAAAAAGGGCAAATGCACATAGGTTCTAAAGGTAAGTAATTAGACAATTTGATTAAGCCAAGTATGATCAAAGCGATCGTGCTAAAACCACGGAACTCGGGAATGCCTAACTCCTTCTCCCGGGTTAACAGAATTCCTTACCCGGATTTCTGTGTTTGCGGACCGTAAATAGAGTCAAACTTCCTCGATTCGGGATTTTAAACCGGTGACTTGGGACAACATAAATTATTCCAAGTGGCGACTCTGAGCAGTAAATAAATAATCCCGTTTCGATTGTCACTTAAATTGGAAAAAAAACTCCCTTATACCCCTTCCGGTGGTAAAAAGAGAGGTGTGACAAATATAAATATAATTATTTATATAAATATACTTTTATAATATACATTATATATTCTTGAAAATTATGCTCAATTATATTATTATGTTTCTACCAACTTTCCGACGATACAAAGTTAAGTCATGGGAAAGCAGGGGGATTATCTGTATAGGGTAAAATATGATATGTTAAGTCGTGCATGGAATATATATATAATATAATTGAGCATAATTTTCAAGAATATATAATATGTTATAAAAATACCTTTATTTAAATAATTATTTTTATATTACGTGCATGGAATATATATTTTACAACCTTTATTTTCTTTTATTCTGAATTGTGTAAATAAATTTTTGAATTTTTATTGTTAATACTAAAATTATTATTACTAACAAATTATTTTAATTAAATTTTTTACTATGCTCATTATTTTGCTATTCCAGCATTATATATTTTTAAATATTTTTTATTTTTTAATTTATAAATAATATTTATTTATTCTATAGGTAAGTCCATAATGTAAATTAAAAAGGAAAAAATCATAATATTAAAAAGTTTTAAAAAAATAAAAATAAGATAAATATTTATAATTTACAGGGTAAAATAGGTATTTGGCAATTCAAAATTTGGAAAATCTAGTTGAGTGACTTTCTGAATGCAATAGGCATAGTTCAGTGACTTTGTTGTCACAAAAAAAAAAGTGATATTAGGAAATAATTTGAGATAGTTGAATGACCATTTAAATGGACTCTAAGAGTTTTATACATGTTCAAAGCTATGATTTAAAGTTAATTAGATTTCTCTTTTGATTTACTTACTTTAGATTCTCTTTTGGTCTCTAGTAGTATTAGACATTGTGTGCGCGTAGTAGAGCTTAATGCATAATCTTGCCTTTTTAGTTCTTTCTTTTTTAGGCCCTAGTGTTCTGCATCATTGTCTGTAGTGATGGAGGCAGAATTTATTATCAAGGAATTTAAAAAAAAGTTAAATTTTTTTAAAAATTATGTCAAGTGGGAATCGAATTATAATCTAACAAAGATTTTGAATTTTCTTGACCATTAAATTATTTTTTTGAGCTATGTGAAGGGGATTCAAAATATAATATATAGAAGTACAAACTAGATTTTGTCNCGCTCCTGATTGTCCATACATTGGAGGGACAAGTGCACAAATGACCATTTTCAAAGATATTATTTAGAGATTAGCCAGTATTTATTTTATCCTGAAATTTTAGACTAAAAATCTTAATTTAAAAATAATTCAGAATATTTTTGTCCCAATAAATTAAACTGAAATTTTAAAATTCAAAATATATTAACTAATTTTTAAATAGCAGCCCTTTAAAACGATTATCTATGTCATTTTTACTATATTGGAACTGCGTAAGCCCAACCAACAATCTTGCTAAGATGGATAAGACTTCAGAGGCATCTATATATAAGCAGTTTACACCACAACACCTCTAAGATGCTAATGTACAGGTGTCGAATAGAGGAGGAAGTTGCATATTATCCTGTCCTTGCCAAAATATCCTTTGGAAAAGGAAAACAGAGAAAGCTGCCCATCAATTTGTGGCCTTGGCACATAGAAAAAGACATCCTATTCTCATTCTCTTAGTATAGTATCTCTTTTAACCTTATCCTTGGACATCCAGATAGCATAAGCAT